ACTGGTTAACAGGTTAAAAGAAAGGGGGAAATATATTCGAATTGAGGGTGGGATGGGTGTGCGTATGAGAGTATAAGAGGAAGGAAAGGGAAGAAGGTAGAGAAGGGGAAATATAGAAGAGGGGATGTGTGGGGTGTAAACGTTAGAAGACGACGTCAGTCGTCAGCTGAACTGCTATCGGGATTCGCGCGTACACGCGCGTTGGATGAACGAGGATGGGTGAGAAGAGGCGGGGTAAGGGGAACACAGTGACGAAGGGTGATCGACCGAACGCGAACACTATAACACATACATACGTACACATACAGAGAGTAGTAAGGGAGGGGTTGGATGATTGTAATGGTAGTAGTAGTAGTAGTAGTAGTTGTAGTTGTAGTGTGAGACAGAGATGACAACAGGAAGAGTATGTGCCTGCACACATACATACACACGTATAAGAGATGCACTTTCTGCTTTATTCTCTAACACGTGTGTATGTGTGTGTGTATGTATTGTATGCGTGCATGCGTTTATACACATCTCTATGTAGATTTATGTATGACCGTTTGCATGCGTAAATAAATATGCACATTGATTGTGTGTGTGTGTGTGTATTTGTGTGTTTGTGTGCATGAGAATAGCACATGTATATAAGAGAAGACGATGGACTCTTGGGGCCCTTATCGTGGAACGCAAATAAGTCTCGTAAGAAAGAGAAGAAATTTACTGTTGATGATGATGATGATGGTGGTGGTGGTGGTGGTGTAATGGTGGAGTAAGGAAAGAGTAAGATGAGTTTATGTGATTACTATCGTATCGAATCACATAAGAGAGAAAGAACATGTTTATATACTTCAAACTATATGTTCAAGAACGTGTTGAGGAAATAATAGAATGCAAGTTAATTATACGATTTGAAATTGTATTAGTTTAACCCTTTGAGTGTTATAGACGCATATGTGCGTTTGGAAAAAATTACTAACTTTATCGTTCGATACACATCTGTGTTAATTGTTAATATTAATGTAAAATAACATAATATGTTTATATCAATTAATTAAATAATATTTAGAAATAATTATTAAATATATTTTTAATTATAATAATAATTATATATATATATATATATANTATATATATATATATATATATACTAGGGGTGCCCCGCCACGCGTTGCTGTGGCTCACAATCAATCCGATACACACGTCTTTAAGTCAACGAATTACCTTATACCGCCTTATTGCGATTATAAATTGAGATATAAACAATCCTATCTTTCAAGTTGGATGAAACTGCACACAGTGTGCTAAATTTGATTAAAATTGGTTCAATAGTTTAGGAGTCCATTGCGGACAAACAACGTGACACGTAATTTTTATATATATATATATATATATATATATTAAATACAATTTATTTATTAGTCTCTTTGATTAATAATAAACGATTTTGTTGCTACAAAAACACTTTAGGTAAAAGTATTCATTACTCAAAGGGTTAAATGTTTTTTTTATTATTATGATACAACATGACTATAATATTGTTCTTATTATTATTATTATTATTATGGCTTTTGTATTTATTACTTAGGTGTGTATGTGTCTTTTTTTTTGTTTTTCTTTTTTTCAAGGTATTTATTTAGATTGTATAAAAGGGAGGATAAGAATAGTATTCGATCGAAATGAGGAAATACGATCTTAGAAGTTTTGTTGGATTAGAAATAGAATTTTATTGCATCCACTTCATGGTTGGGGTGAGATGAGGTCGGTTGAAGGGGGAATGGGTCTACAAAATCCTGCTATTTATGTACGTGTGTGTGTATGTGTGTATGGGACCATAGGGTAAATGTAGTTATTATCATTGTATTTGTAGAAAGAGAACTGCGGTTTTAGGACTATCACATATACATATACATATACATGTATATATATATATTTTTATTTTTATTTCTGTTTTTATAGCTTTAGAGTTTCGATACAACACAACGTTTTGTTCGTCATTCGTCACTGTTCTGACATACATACACATACACATACAGATACACATTCACATTGTTTATATGTTCCCGTCGTCCCGTTATTAACTCGATATTCGTGTACACCGGGTATAATGAACTTCCGTTAGAACGTGTCGTATATTTGTTGTTCTTTTTTTTGTGTTTCATTAAAAAGAAAAAAAAAAACCTAGAAACATTCTAAACACACACACACACACACACCGATCGATTATTTATGTCCTATTACTGTATTCTCTAACACTTGTGTGTGTCTCTGTGTGTATGTATGGATGTTTTTATACACATCTATACAGATTTATCTATGTAGTTCAATTGTAAGTGAAAAATATTACAATTTTAATTAGTTTGTACGAATGGGAATGCATTTTCATGTTTTTAAGAGAAATATATATATATATATATCATATAGACGATCAAGGACAGTGTGGCCTACTTAAGAGAAACTTCAGTTAGGTGAACGGCATATCTAATCCAGGAATATCCACAAAGGAAATCCAGCACGACGTGTCACTTTCATAGTCTGCTAAGCACTGCAATCTTACTTCCTCTTTCAGTATACGTGTGTGTGTGTGCGTGTGTGCATGCGTGCGTGAGTCTAATCACACATGTCCACGTGTATATAAGGTGGGGAGAGGGTGAAGAGAAATATCTTTAGTTTAACGTGCTTAAGAAGACGAAGAGAAAGAGTGTGTGTGAGAGAGAAGAACTCAGCTAACACGCGTTTTTTTTCTTTTTTTTTTTTTAACGATAAGGTGCAGTAACAGCAGCAACAAAACGTGGTTAGAAAGAGAAAGATAAAGAGAAACGGGGGAAAAAAGAAGGAAGGAAGAAGAAGGAAGGTTGTGGTTTTGTTAGAGAATTCTTGAGAATAGAAAGGAGGGAGTTGGGAGGTGGTGGGAGGTGGTGGAAGGAGGTGGAAGGAGGTGGAAGGGGGTCAGAGGGGGTGGACTGCTTCTGATAAAGGGTCGTATACCCCGACAGTGGCACGCGTGTACGTTACGATCACCGTGTATTATATCGGATTCGAGAATGTTATATGTATATATGTATATATGTATGTGTTCCTGTAATGCGTTATGAATAAATATATATTATATATTATTATATTATTTTTTATATTTTATATGTGTATTTAATTTATATATAGTATATATATATATAATTATTATTATTTTTATTTTTAATTTTAAATTATATTTAATATTAATAATAATATTTTTTAATATTAATATAATAATAATAATAATAATAATAATATATATTATTATTATTAATTTTATTATAATAATATTATTATTAATATTATTATTATATATAATATAGTAATATAAATATATTTTTAATATTGAAATAGATATGATAAAAAAAAAATTGTCAAAGATATTATTAACCATGGAATGTAAGAGAGAGAGAGAGAGAGAGAGAGAGAGAGAGAGAGAGAGAGAGAGAGAGAGAGAGAGAGAAGGGCAAGTATTTGGGTTGTGTGTATGTGTTTTGCTTACCATCTCTGGACATGCCGAGGCGTAGGCACTTTTGCAAACGACAATACTGGCACCGGTTTCTGTTTACACGGTCGACCACGCAGTTTTTGTTCCGCGGACATTGGTAGTTGACTACAGATGATTGGGACCGCCTGAAGAAACCTTTGCAACCCTCGCAGGTGATCACACCGTAATGAACTCCGCTGCTTTTGTCGCCGCACACCTTGCACGGGATTATCTCGATCTGGGCTGAAATTAAATCATTCGTTATTTGTTAAACATATATTTTAACATTTTTTTTTATATATTTATTTATAATTCTAATAATTCATTTATTAATAATAAATATATATATATATATCTTGTTTCCCTTAAAATATTGAAAAGAAAACATTAGCATTGAAAATGTGAACAAATGACCAAAAAATATAAAATAACCTATATAATAAATAATATAAAATATAAATCTAAACTAAACAATATAAAATATAAAATATATAATATATAAAATAAAAATATATAAGTAATGTATAAAGTATATAAAAAATATATAAAATATATAAAATAAAATATATACTAAATAATATAAAATAAAATATGTAATATATAAAATATATAAAATATATATATATATATATATATATATATATATATAATTTTATATTATATATTTATATAAATTTTATTTAAAAATATATACATGAATTTATTTATATATATATTTATATTATATAATTATATATTTAAATAACCATTTATATGAATTAAATCAATCCGAAGTAATCGCATTCCGAAAAATCGAGTACCTCGTATCGAATTAACATGCGGTTTACGATCATCCGCGGAATGATGATGATGATGATGATGATTATTATTATTATTCGCAGGACTCGTAGGTTGATTTTGATTAATAGTAGTTCTCTGTCTTGAATCGTCCTGAGGTTGCGGGCTAGTACTGTCCGCACCCCAAGTAGATCCACCAAATATCGAAAGATTTGTTCCTTCCATTGACAAAACTTAGACCACTTACACCCCCATCACCTCCTCCTCCTCCTCCTCCTCCTCCTCCTCCTCCTACTCCTCCTACTCCTACTCC